TGCCACATCTAACCCCACGATAACTTTTGTGTCTCGCGTTGGCTTGTCTATAATTTGGTCCTCGAGCTGTAGCATCACGTCGCGCGCTGATAGTCGGGGTCTAAAACCGATCATGGTGTCCGGATACATACCATTGTCTTCCATGTACCTATTGAGCCGCGTCTAAACGACATGCTCCATGAGCTTACCTACGCAAGACGTTAACAATATCGGCCTAACATTCTCGAAACGGAGTTTTTTACCTGGTTTAGGAATGAAAATTACATTTGCGAGTTTCCACTCCTGCGGTATCGTCCCTTTTTCCCAACACTCCTGCATGTACATTGCTAGGTTAGCGATGGACCTATCGTCTAAATTACGGAGCATTTTGTTGGTCACTCTGTCCGGCCCTGCCGCTGATCTAGTCTTTAGCCGATTAATCTCCGCTCGCACCTCAGCCAGGGAGATAGGGGCGTCTAAGGCTGCGTTTTCCCGTCCTCCATAATCTGGGAGAGGTTCGGATCCGGTGGAATTAATGTATCTGCTCTGAACTTCTTCTAAGAGTTCCTTCCTAGTGCCTTCAAATTGGTGTTCCATCCGTTCCAATAGCTGTTTAGACGCTGTCTTCGTGCTCTCCGGATCTAAAAGGTGACGAAGAAGTCGCCACGTTGAGGACGTACTTATATTCCTATCCATCTCTTGACAGACGTTTCCCCACCTTTGCTTCGTGAGCGTGATTGCTTGCTCTTCAATTTGCCTGTTTAAAGCCGCTATTTGTTTCCTGATACTCCGATCCCATCTCCTCTGTTGGAGTCGGTTTTCCAACGCTTTCTTTTTCTTCCAAAGATTTACTAATCTCGTGTCTACCACTTCGTTGTCGTCCTCGGTTTCCACCACTTCAGTGGCTTCCTTAACAGTACGTAACACCCCATCGCACCACTCGGCAATGTCGGAAAAGGGAGTCGGGTCGCCCCTGAGGCCCCTGGAAGAGTCCCAATTTACGGCCTCTACCCTTCGTTTGCCGGGCCTCCCTCTACCACTATTTCTATGCTCATGTGATCACTGCCTAGGTCCTCGTTTGTGTTGCACCACGTGGCACTAGTGCCGCTCCCCGTCAGAGTAAGGTCGGGTGTGGTGTCAACCGCGACACTATTTTCCTTCCTCGTTGGCTGCAACGGGTCGGTTATTAGATCCAGACTATAAGTTTGCATGTCATCCCACAATTTCCTGCCCTTAATTGAAGCCTGCTTATATCCCCATGCCGTGTGGTGAGCGTTAAAGTCACCGACGATCAGCAATGGGTTGTTCCTACTCTTACGTCTCGTTGAAGCGAAGAGATCCTCAAAGTCGCATCGCCTTTGTCTGGGAGAGCTGTATATATTTAATACGAACCAGCTAGCGTTTTTCTTTTTTGGGGGTATTAGTTCTATGAGAACATGGTCGATGTGTGCATTACCAATGTCATGCTGCACCACCGTAACGTTTCAGCTGACCAGGGCGGCCACCTGCGTACTCGTGCATTCGCTTACATAGGATTTATAACCCGGCAATGTCGCCTTTCACCCACATTCCTGTAAATCTATAACATCCGGTCGATCCCCTTTCCTCGGGAATTCCTGCAGAACCGCACGCTTGCGCGTGAAGCCTCTGCAGTTCCATTGCCAAACGGTGTTCTTACTTAATCTGTGAGCCATGATTGCCACTAAGATGATTCATCGGCCTGCCTAATACTTCTTGGCGAGCTGTTCATACGCCCGATCCCTCTTCGCGAATTCTGTTTTAAGTTCCTCGGTAAGTTTATTATCCCGCTGATGCAACTGCTGTGTCAGATTTTGAAACATCTCGAACATTCGTTTCTCGAAGGCCTTACGCCATTCATCGTCCTGGGTAGATTTGGCTTCAATGTTTGCCTCCAGTTGCGCTATTTTCATATCTATCACTGTCTCTACGTTCTCATCTATTACGGGCTTTTCCGCTTCTTTTGCCCTCTTTTTCCCTGGAGGCGGAGTAGTGCTCTGCTCCTCCGGCCTTTCTATATTTTGATTCTGTGGCATTCGTGGTAGGGAAACCAGTGTTGTATTAGACGACTTAATCGCTATTTGAAGCTCCTCTATTTGCCGACTCATCATTGCTAGCTGCTCTTTAAGCATGCGATTCTCTTCCTTAATGGTTAACATTTCTTGATCGCGTTTATCCTGGGAGGCCCTATCTCCCCAACCCACCTTGTGGTTCGGCGACGTGGGGCTCCCACTGCTGAGGACAGCACTGCCGGAAGTCCCCTCGTTTACTGGACCAGTCATTGGTGGCAGCTCTCCTTCTTGTCTTTCCGGTAGTCGTGGGAAAGAACCTGCTCTTCCTCTTGCCCATCTTCGATGCTTCGACCGGCTCCTGGACCGTTCTTTGATCTCTTCCATTCTGCACGTTTGTGGACCGGCGTCTTTCGCCTTCCGCTCTTCTCCTTCCATTCGCCGCCAGGCCTCCCACTGTCTCTTCTTTATTGTATAAGGGGTCCTAAAAGCTTCCTTGCATTTCCGATCTGCTGTCAGATGACCTTTGCCACACAGCTTACACTTGGGCTCACATGCATGGTCCTCGGGTGGAGCTGTCACTCCGCATCCCCGGCAGCGAACATGGTCGCTGATACACACGTCCGATCTGTGTCCTAGCTGGCCACATCGGTAGCACACCTCGTATCGTTTCTTATAAAGCACGCACTTCAGCGGTACGCCGTAACAGTACATCCACCTGGGCACTGTCTCATTTTTGAAGATGATGACCGCTGAACTTGAGTTTCCCAGCTTCCTAACACCAAGTATCGGCGGGTTCCTTGAGTTGCCGAAAGCCTCTGTCAGTTCCTCTACTGACAATCTCGGGTCGATGCCGCGCACCACACCCCACCCGCTATCCTCGTGCGGCGCGAGGTAGGCCGTGACGTCGTAGTCCTTGCCTTCAATCTTGATAGACTTAATACTGGTCACCTTCCAGACGGTGTCTGTCTGGAGTGCTGAAAATTAGGGTGCCTTGCTTGTCGTTAACAATGAGCACTTCCTTTTCTTGTCCCTTAATCCACGGAGATCACGCTGCCATGCGCACCGCCTCACTGAGCCTAGTGTTCGGAACTTTTGTGAGCGCCAGCCCGCACTTCGGACGAATGATTATCTTGTAGTCGTTCGCCGGCAACCGCGGTAGGTACGACGCAATCGAGCGCTCCGCGATCTTGTGCCCCAGCTTTTTGTATGCTGCGTTCGCAGCCGCCGTCTTCTTCCTGGCTTCGCCGGGCTCGGCTCCACTTTCTGCCCGGGCGTTGCCATCTTGGCGTCCCTGTCTGTCACTTCTAGCGGAGTCACGCAGCTCTTTAACATCTTTTCCAACTTTCGTGATCCAGTCAGCGGTTCTAAATTCTTCAGGGGTAATTTCAGTACCCTCCACGGTCACCTCCATTGCCGTCGCGTCTCCACAGCGGGGCTCTGAAGCGAACGCCGGGGGCGTCGGCCACCGCCGAGCCGCCGCGTTTGTTCACCGCTAGCGTTAAGCTTTGCTGGGCGGAGACGCAGTCGACACCAAAATAGCCACAAAACGTCCCAAAACGTACTCACAGTCTGGAGGTCGTGGTCTAGATGAATTCAATCAACATTAGAATTTAATCAACCAAAGGAACAAGCAGGATTTCGAACAGGCTACTCAACAATCGACCACATTCATACTATCATTCAGGTAATAGAGAAATGCTCGGAATATAACCAACCACTATACACAGCCTCCATAAAATACGAGAAGGCGTTTGATTCAGTAGAAATATCAGCCGTCATGCAGACACTGCGGAATCAGGGCGTCGATGAAGTATATATATACATCCTGGATGAAATCAACAGGGGATCAACTGCTACCATAGTGCTTCATAAAGAAAGCAACAGAGTACCAATCAAGAAGAATGTAAGGCAGGGAAACACAATCTCCCCAATGCTATTTACCGCGTGCTTACAGGAGGTTTTCAGAAGCCTAGAATGGGAACAGTTAGGGATAACAGTTAATGGAGAATACCTTAGTAACCTGCGCTTCGCCGATGACATTGCATTGCTGAGTAACTCAGGGGACGAATTGCAACTCATGATTACGGAGTTACACAAGGAGAGCAGAAAGGTGAGTCTTAAAATTAATCTGCAGAAAACGAAAGTAATGTACAACAACCTCGCAAAGGAACAGCGCTTCGAGATAGGTAATAGTGCACTTGAAGTTGTAAAAGACTATGTATACTTAGGGCAGGTAATAGCCACGGAGCTGAACCACGGGATTGAAGTAACTAGAAGAATGAGAATGGGGTGGAGCACATTTGGCAAGCACTCTCAAATCATGACAGGTAGATTGCCACTATCCCTCAAGAGGAAGGTATATAACAGCCGTATCTTGCCGGTACTTAGCTACGGCGCGAAAACCTGGGGACTTACAAAGAGGGTTCAGCTTAAATTAAGGACGACGCAGCGAGCAATGGAAAGAATATCGGTAGGTGTAACCTTAAGAGACAAGAAGAGAGCAGAGTGGATTTGGGAACAAACGGGGGTTAAGAATATAATCGTTGAAATCAAGAAGAGGAAATGGACATGGAACGGGCATGTAGCGCGTAGACCGGATAACCGCTGGTCATTAAGGGTAACTAGCTAGATTCCCAGAGAAGGCAAGCGGGTTAAGGGCGGAAAGAAGGTTAGGTGGGCAGATGAGATTAAGTACTTTGCGGGTATAAATTGGCATCAGCAAGCACAGGACCGGGTTAACTGGCGGAACATGGGAGAGGCCCTTGTCCTGCAGGTGACGTTGTCAGGATGATAATGATGATGATGATGGTGATGATGATGATGAGACACGCATACAAACGCACGGATATACATAAAGCACGGTTGGACCACCCCTACCCTTCACCAACGAAAGAAAAAATGCTGCCTATGCTATTGCTGTCCCGTGTCTAGCGGAGTGTCACGCTTGACTTCAACGAACACTAAGCCACATTCTGCCATCTTTGCGCGCAGATCCACGCCATCATAAACAAAGCCGACGCCGATGCCGTGGTGGCTTCTTCCGGTGTGCGGGTCGAGTTCAACACTCGACGCTTCGCTATCGACGAGCGTCGGGAGCTCTACTACCGCACCGAGGTCCAAAGCCGCGCATACGCACGCGAAATTGCAGAGGTATGTGATTTCGCTGAATCTCTGCATGCAACTTTAATAGCAGCTAATAATATAAGTAGATGAGTGTTTAATTATATAGGATTGTTCGAAAGAAGTTGGCCAGGTGGGCTAGCTTGAGTCGCATTTTCAAATGAAACTTTATATGAAAACGCAATGTAGTATGAAAGTAACCGACGTAGAATGAAGGAGGGAAATGCATGCCACAAGCGCTTTCCGAATGTCGTGAAAATGTGGTTGCTGAGTTACCATACACAAATGAACATTAAAGACGTGCGAAACGACACGATCTCGTTACTGCGCAGTTTAAGTTATGAAACGTGGGTTTAATATCTCAAAAATTACAATCAATTTCTTTACATTAACATTTGAGTTTATTGATGCACATGCGAAGCGTGGTACACGATGGTTTTTCAGAAGTTTCTTCAAATTCCCCTTAAAAATTTGAGGTGCTAAACGTAAACATTCACTGTAAACACCCTCAAGTGCATCGCACCGCGTATAGCCTCACCAAATAATTTCAAAATATTACGTGCGCTTGACGTGTGAGTTTGCCTCGAATAATGCTCCGTCCTTGTTGAAACATCCATGAGAGCAGCATATTATGACTGCTTGATGATAGTTGCTCCTCAAGCCACTTGTGAACATGCTGCGCGAGTGCTAGCCATCACCGCTTTATGCGATATTCTCTCACGTGTGTGGCTGCGTGGTGTTTTGGTTTTTTTTTTCTTTATTGTGTGTTTTGGTATCATACCAAAACGGTGGTCAATACAGCCGGCGCCTCTATTTTTTAAGTGCCTGGGCGAACGCTTCCCTCAGGCCGTCGAGCGCGCCCTTCGCCTCCGCTCGCTGCTGCCGCGTGGCGGCGCTGCACGAGTAGACGACGGCTTGGTGGCGCTAGCCACCGCCCGATCTAAAGGGTACAGCCATATCCATCCATCCATCCATCCATCCAACGCGAAGCTGGCGCTAAACGGCATCGCATAGTAGAAAGCTCGCAATTTCGTGTTTTCATGCAAGTTTCATTGCATTCGTGCTTCTCGCAGGCTTTCATAGGTAGAAGGGAGATGAAAAGTAACGTGGAAATAGCGGGGCGCTGTTTTCACCAAGCTCTGACCGTGATGGCAATTAGAAGATACTAGATTGTCTTTGATTGTATCATGTATGACTCTGTTTTTCTATAAATCATGCAGGCTACACCCCGCTGAAAATAAATGCTAAACAGCAAAGAAGGTCGATACAGCATGTCCGCGTTTCTTTCCATGTCCGCTGTATACTGTCGTTCTTTATGAAAGGGAACAAGCGAACGCGTAGTCTGCAGTTTGCGGCCGCTGCCTACAGCACCATCAACCGAAAAGTGAAGAAAGCACGTTCGGTTTCGGCGTCATCTATGGCCAAGCAAGCTAACGAGTCATGGCCGGTAGACAAGCGCTGCTAGATTACTTCCCTCACCGGTCACGCGGCGAGCGACATCGGGCGATTACTGCAGCTTGCGTCGTGGTCGCGCACAAGGTTTGATATGTTGGCAGTGGACTACGCACTGCAGGCCTGAGTAGAGAGGAAGTGCAATCTAGCAGCGCTTGTCTACCGACCACGACTCGTTATCATTTTTTTTTTTTGGAAAGAGGTGACGCTGAAAGCGAACGTGTTTTCTTTTGCTGTCGGTTGATGGTGCTGTAGGCAGCCGCCGCAGAGCGCAGGCCACGCGTTCACGTGTCCATTTTCATAAAAGACGACAGTATACGTATTCCGCCTGCAGTCTGTCAGCTGCGTGCTGCCTGTTCGATACTTCCAATCGATTTTGAATATATTCGAGTTTTATTTCCTGCTTCAGGAGATTGATACCTCACCATTTCCATGCCTCAGTATATAACACTGTTGTGTATCACTCTACATACCCGATGGAAAGAAATGAGATTGTCAGATTCTCTTTGTTATTCCTCATTAGTGATAAATAAAAAAGGGAACTCAGAAGTTCGGTCATGTATTCACCATAGACGAATGAAAGGCGAAAACAATCTTTTGCGTCTCATTAAATGTATTGAACGTTTCTTGCTTCCCTCCGAAATATCTCTGCGCCTAACGTGGTTTTTTTACTGCCTCAAGAATTGCAGACAATGCTAACTTTTTACCACTCAACTGGTTATGAACTGCCTCTGTGATCAGCCTATTTTGACCATGCGAAGATGTAATATGACGACGTCATGTTATGACACCTTCCGACGCGTTACAAGATATTATTATTTGGGACGTCATATGATGACGTCTTCATGTAATTATGATTGCTTGCATCGCCCGTATTGACGCCGCCAACGTGAGACGACGTGGGTGATCATTTTTCGCTTTTGACAAGGCATCTGTCTTCACTTAAATACACCGTGGCTGTCTTTCCCTGACAAACACTCAAACGAGCTCAAGCAACTTACAACAGGCTGCATTTTAAACGCCTGTCACATTGGCTTATGTTGAGAGTCGGCCTTACACCACTAGAGTCTGTTCAAAACATCCGTCATCGCACCACATATGCCGCTCTTTTTTTATTGTTTTTCGTTCCACCACGACTTCATTGCTTTAAGCTCTCAAATACTGAAATCATTCCACCTAGCATAGTTCCCCTTTTTCGGGCAGTTGCTTTCTCTCGGTGGAAACACATGTTCTACTCGAAAGCTTTACGAAGACAATTCGTGATCACGCATATCCCTGGAAGCAGTCGATTGGTTATGCTATTCAGCGCACTGACGCCGGGCTTGCGTGTAATGCGCTACACGGCTAGACAGCAGCAATGATCAGTGAGCATTAAGCACCTAAGCTCTTAGTATTAGCTCCTGACAAATGCTGCTTTCAAAAATCGCCTTTTTGTCAGTCAAGAAAAGCAACTTTCAGTCCAGCAAACATAAAGGTGACAAAACGATCTTCCGGGGATAGCTGACATGCATTCTATACATAGTATCGGCCTAGCAGACGACGTGCGCGCGCCTTGATCAAATAGCCGCGAACGACACATGCCTTTGAAATTGGCTGGATACCCTGAACGACAACGCTTCGCGATTCTCGTTTACAACTTTTCATTACACTTTAAACAGTGTGAACACAGCCAAAAACTGAACCGTATAGCAGCTTAGAATGCAGCTGCGGCATTGGTTTGCGCGAGAAACGACGTGATGACGAGCCTACTCCAGTTGCTTGCGGCGGCTGGTGGCTAAAAGCCGCTCTAACGCCGACGGCCGCTCCTCATTGAAATCCGCTCCTTCGGCCGGGCACTGCGCTTAGAGGGTGCAACAGCTGACCTGAAGGAAAATTTGGAAATTATTCGCTAAACTTTAGTTACGAGCGACAACCTGTGTACATGGACACCGTGTGCGCCTTCGTATTGCCCTGTGTCCCTATGCTGCTTTATGTTCAACGCATTCGTGGTTTCATTTAGCTTTCGGTCAACGTGCAAATAACTGTTTCAAATGCATCCCGCAGCTAGATGCCGAGATAGCACGGCTGAAGAGGCTTCTCGGAGAGCCACTCTGTGCCGAAACGTCGTCTGAAAACAACTCTGTCAAGGTGGGTATTCTGTGGAGCCTGTGAGCGAAGCTGCCAATGGGGCTAGTGCATGGGGGTGACATATTTACTCTTATCAGGTACATCTAATGAAGACAGAGAGGAAACGTATCGAAGCTTTTCTTATCCGCACTAGCGATGTTTGCGTTCGCTCACCATCACTCGCCGTATCCAAAAAGAAATCGAATTTTTATAGGCAGTCATGATAAGTTAGACATGATTGTTTTGCAAGCGTTTATTGTACGCATTTCAACTAATTTACAACATGCAATCTTTTTTTCTGTTCTTTTCAATTTTTTCTTCCTTCTGTCTCCTTTTTTCAGGTCGTACAGAGTGATGTGTCTGGCACGCAAATTAACCAGTTATTAGTACGCGCTGACTCTTTGAGGGTCTTGTTTTAGTTATCTTTTCGTGTAGTTTCTGACAGTGAGAATGGTCATGAGGCCCTGGGATTGCATGATAAATTCTTTCAATAGAGCCTCTAAATAGTACTATTTTTTTCCACAGTGTGCCGAAAGTAGAGCGTTATATAGATCGATTGGAAAATGAATTCGTTTGCGTTCGCTTCGGCTTTTAGTATAATTTTATTTTCAGGGCCTCTCGCCAGGTTTAAGCATTCAAACAAACCAGCATGGTTCATTGATTGCTCGGTAGAGATAATGTGTACGAATTCTGAAGCGCGTACATGGCGCAAAAGCAATTCAAACTTTAAAAACAAAACGCTGTGCAAGCTTCTTTCTTGCTGTCGCTGATCATGCTCAACTCTCCCCCGTACCATAATTTTGTATGAAAAAAGCAACAAATCTCAGGGCATTTGTTTATTTCTACTTATGTCGTTTATCACGCCATCACTGTAAAGTCCAGTGCAAGCAGTCATCGAGCGAGATGCCAATCAGTGTGCCCCTGTGTGCTGAGCCCCCATGGCCGTTAATTTAATTAGCACGCTATTGTTTGATGCGATTTACAGAGCCTCTAAAAACCAGTGAGCAAGTTTGTCGCTATCAGATGAATTCCTATCGCTACGGTGCTTCGCCTTTCGGAAGGTTATTTTTTTCTTGATGCCGTTGCTTACATTCTGTTTGCGACGAACACAGCCGCAGCTGTACAAGAAGAGGCGGATGCAGCCATGATCATTCTATAGGGTGAGACGCGATCTTCGCGAAGATCGCGTCTCACCTAGGGATCGCGTCTCACCACAGGGATCTTCACGAAGCAGCGCAAAAACGAGGAAACCGAAAGAAACACTCAGGCAAAAGCGCTACCAACAAATTTGAGCCAGCACGAATAAACACGCTTCTGTCAGGATTGAAAAGGTGCATGCGCCCTAGCCTACACATCACATCTACTTAGTTGCCAGAAAAAAAAATATGCAAGTCACTTCGTCCTCTGAAAAACAGGAGTTGTGTACGTCATTTCGACGTCATGTAGAGGTTTGTACATCGGTCATACGAGACGGTGTGTCAATTATCGGTCACGAGAACTTGCCAGCGATTTTGGAACGTGTCCGATGCTTTCCCTCCAACCACTTTACGGCCACCTAAAGTTGAGGGGGGCATGACCAATCACTCCTTAAACTGTAGCTCATTTGTTATAGCATTCGACACGTTATTCAGAAGTCATAGGTTTGTTCTTTGCCAGCAGCACGTCATCTTTTCGTCCCCTTTAATTTCTTCACATTTACATCACAATTACTTATAATATCACCTGTACTGTACTTGGCGTTTCTGTCTGTTCGAAATAATGCTGTGCTAAACCAAACAAAAACCAGCCTTTGAGACTGTTTAGCTCTACGCTAAGATAATTTACGACCGTGTTCTCCAAAATTTGAGTTCACGTGCTGAAAGTGTGCACTAGTACCGCAGTATAGTCTGCATCGTATGAATCGTATGTACCTTTTCACCCAGACTATTGAGTGCTCGTCTGTGCCTGCAGATTGGAAGGTGGTGCCTCTGTTTAAATCAGGTGACCCGCATTCCCCTCTCAATTACAGATCCATCTCGCTCACTAGCATTCCTTACAAAATCCTCGAACATGTCATATTTAATAACCTCGTTTCATTTCTTGAATCCAACGCATTTTTCACTTCATTTCAGCATGGGTTTCGCAAGAACTATTCCTGCGAAAGACAACTTGTATCGTTTATGCATAACACTTCATCCTCCTTAGATAAAGGACAGGTTATTGACTGTACTTTTTAGATTTTGCTAAGGCTTTTGACAAGGTGTCTCACCACTTACTACTTCTTAAACTCAGTACTCTTAATATTGACCCTAACATCTTGAAGTGGACAGAATGTTTTCTAACCGTACTCACTTTGTAACCGCCAATGATGCCGTATCGTCCCACTGTGACGTAAAGTCTGGCGTTCCTCTAGGCTCTGTTTTGGGTCACTTGCTTTTTTCTAATATATATTAATGACTTACCTACCGTTATTAAAAGTTCCATTAAACTTTTCGCTAATGGCTGTGTTGTATACTGTGAAATAACTAGTCTGCATGATAACCTCATTCTTCAGTCCGATCTAGATAACATATCAAAGTGGTGCTCACAATGGCTAATGTTAATAAATCCGACGAAATGCAAGATTATGACTGCTTCACGTCGCTCTGTTGCATCCATTCCTTTCAGCTATGCTATCAATAACATCAACCTTGAATACGTAACCTCGTATAAGTATCTCGCAATTCCCATAAAGAATAACCTTTCTTGGCATACACACGTTCATTACATCCCTAACAATGCCAATAAATCACTTGGGTACATACGCAGAAATTTTTCTAATGCCCCACGCCATTTAACATTGCTGCTCTACAAAACACTCATTAGACCAAAACTCGAGTATGCATCTTCTGTTTGGGACCCCGGTCTAAAAACAATAAATATCATTATTGAGTCCGTTCAAAATCGATCAGCATGTTTCACTATGTCAAACTATTCTCGCTCCGCTAGCGTTTCATTAATGAAATCTGATCTCGGACTACTTGATTTGCAGCTTAGAAGAAAAATTTCTCGTCTATGCCTTTTCCAAAAAATTCTTCACTCAAACAATTCAATTAGACAGGAGCTCATATTACAACCGTCATACGTATTGTCACGTCTTGATCATGAGCATAAATTTTTCAATCCTCTCTGTCGCATTAATGTTTTTTCCGACTCCTTTCTGCCAAAAACCAATGCCGATTGGAACCGCCTTCCCTCCACCATCGCCTGCATTGAAGACGCATAATCATTCAAAACTGCACTGTCAGATAATGTTATGCGCCCTAAATAACTTTTTTGTTGTTGAAGGTGTATTCTCACTGACTTGTATGTTTACGCTCTACTTTTACTGCATTTTTGCTGTATTTCACGCCCCCTCTGTAACGCCTTTATGTGCCCTGAGGGTAATCAAAATAAAATAAAATAAAATAATCGGTGTGACACGAGCGCAGTCCGAGAGCCCCTTGTCATCACTGCTGGAGAGGTTCAAGCGCAAGCGAGCGTCTCTGGAGAACAGCGAGGCGGCCGGCATCGCCTGCATCTCTCGCGTCAACGCTCCCATGCGCTCTCCGGCCCGCGTTCACGACCTGCGCTGGCGGGTCGAAGACGGCACCAGGATGCTGCAGCTGCGAGCCGAGGACCTGCTGCTCCCGCCACGACATTCATTCCATGAACGGTACAGGCACTTTGCTTTCCGAATTGCTCACAGAGAGGTACTTTGTTTCGAAGAATTTCCCACTGGCAAACACCTAATCAGGATATACTTCTGTGCGCAAACGAAAGAAAAGGACTCTGAAAAGCTGGGACAGGTACAAACGCAAACTTTCAACTGAATTTCATTATTCGTCAACCTTCAAACACTTACGAAAGAACATAGTCACGTGGTCAAACGCAAACAGCTTACAAGAACCCACGTCGAAACTTACATTCACTATATCAAATGAGGAAATTGGCGTGTCCCTGTCTTTAATTTGCGCACATCAGTTTATCTTGAAATATGAACCAACTCGCCCAGCTGCAAGTTTTACTGAACGCCTAATCAGTGCCGTAAATCACAGGGGCGTCAAGAGGATCCTGACCTCCCCCTCCCTCTTTGCTCGGACTGGGGGATACGCTCCTTTCAAGTGACCGCATTGAAATTTATCATCATCATCATCATTTATTGAACCCTTAAAGGCCCCTTGCGGGGTATTACATAAGGGGGAGGCAAAAACACAATTCAACAGATGCATGATTGTCAATGGTACAAAGAACAATCGAAAGTGAACTACATGATAAAAAACAATGTCAGCAGAAGGAAATATATATATATACGTGGAAGAAAACGGCAACAAATGTAAATTAACTAACATAAGTGATTTGTGATTAGCTGTTTAAATTTCAAGGGGTTTTGTTCGTGCACTATGGATTCAGGCAGGTTATTCCAGTCTTCAATGGCAGTAGGTAAAAAGGATTTATTGAAAGCGTTAGTTGAACCATGTAAGCGCTGTGAACATAGGGAGTTAAAGAGGCGACGCGATGAACGGGTGGGAGGTAGAAGAACGGTATTGCGTTGCGACGGGAAATTATGGTATAGTTTGTGCAGAAGGCAGAGCCGAGTGACTTTGAGGCGAATTTCTAGAGGAGGGAGGTTGAGGGATAGCTTGATACTGGTAATACTTAAGCGAGAACTGTATTGTGAGGTGATGAATCTGGCAGCGCGATTTTGAATTGCTTCTAATGTGTCGATTAGGTAATTTTGGTGAGGGTTCCAAATAGCAGAAGCATATTCAAGTTTAGTACGCGTGAAGGTTTCGTAAGCTAATTTTCGGATTTGCGGTGGGCAGGACGTAAGCGATCTTTTAATGTAGCCAAGTGATTTTGCTGAAGCGGTGACTAGTTGTTCTATGTGCTAGGACCATATTAGTTTACTTGTTATTATTACGCCAAGATAACGATAGGAGTCGACCTGGGTTAAGTGTTGGAAGTTCACACAATACTGGAAGGAAAAGTTAGTGCGCTTGCGCGAAACTTGCATGAATTTACATTTTGTGTGTATTAAGCTGCATTAGCCACCGCGAACATCAATTATGTATGTTAGACAAGTCATTATGGAGTGTAATTTGGCCTTTAAACATCATATCTTTAAAACATCATATATCTGAGCGACTTGACAGTTAAATATTGCGCGTTGAACGTGTTTAATATCTCTTCGGGTATGCTTTGGGATTGGTAGTGTGCGTCGGTGGACGTCTCTTGCGGCGAGTACATATGAGACGACACGGCGACTCGTTTCCCGAGGATCCTTCGTTGTGAGTCACACGTCGGCGAAGCCGCGTTCGTGGTAACTTGTGTTTGCTACGTTTGTGTGTGGTATTGGCATATTATATGTATGTGGTTATTTAGCGTGTCACTAGTGGTGTATTGGAGCCAGCCGACGAAGTCACCGATGTAAAGCATTTAATGAATGCACGCGTGTTTCATTTGCTCAGCTGCGTCTGCTGTGTCCGTTAAATTCGTTCCGACAACGCGGCTCATCTGCCGACCCCACACCGTACACCTAAATTATCGTGACTAACTTTGCGAAAGCGAGTCCACGGTCACTGCTAGTGCATTTAAGCGCCGTGCAAGTAGCCAATCAATCCTCTTTTGAAGTCGTTGATAATACTGCCACGCAGGTCCAACGAATGCCTCCAGCAGTCCAGGGGTAGCTTGCCTATGATCGCAGCCACGTGCAACGACGAGCGTGGCCAGGGGGGAAGCGACCAAGCTCCTGTTCCTCACTCCGGCTCATTTCCCACACTACCACGCCCGTCGCGGTCTCCGGCAAGCCAGGGAGAGCGCGAAAACAGCAGAGAGGAAGTCTACCAGTCAGCCGAACTTGTTCCCACTAGCGACAGCGTGACGACTGCAAACACCACCGATGAGTACCGGACGTTGTCGTCAGACGAGTACCGGACGCTGTCGTCCGACGAAGACACGACGTACGTGAGCTGTCGCAGTCCCGCTTTCACCACTGCACTCAACCACTGCCCGTCGTCCACGTCATCTCCGTACACGCACGAACCACTCGAACTGGCCGTGTTGGAGGAGGCCAGCAACGATGAAGGCATCGCCGAGTCGTCGGCGTCGACGACGCCCGTAGCCCGAGAGGCGACGCCGTTGGCTGGCAGGTTGCAGACTGAGCGGGAGCTTTTTCTCAAGCGCCTTGAAGAAGCAGAGTCGGTGGACGTCTGACGAATGGGACTCAGTTGCGTAGTTCGACCCGAGAGGACACAGAATTCTCGTTGGACACTTGTTGACCGTATAGGCAGACTCCTGATCGGTGCCACGGCTCCAAGAGCATTGCCCCGGGCACATGCAAGTGCAACGGTACACCATCAATCCACCACTGCAATGCCATCAGCTAGAGCCGTGTCAGTGCATTGTGTGGCCCTGTTTGTGCCCTAGGTGCATCGTAGTTGCATAGATAACTGTGCAACAGTATGCGCTTACTTCTCAGCACATCGAGTCATAATATTAGTGATACCTACATCGTTCTGTGTGCGCGTGAGTGTTCCGTGTGGGGTACCGGCTGGGAAATCACAAATGTTCGCGAATATGTGCGTTTTTGTCCACTGGCATCTGCAGCGACACTCATTCACACTCGATAGTACGGATACAATCCCCATAAAAGGCTACCGATCGCTGACTGAGTCTCACTTACGTTGCAACGAGGAGGTAGATAGGATTAGCTTGTTTATTGCATCTTAACTTCATGTGTACGTCAGTGCGAAGCAAAAAGGGACAAGGCCTCCTTTTCTGGCTGACGTTATGTTCTGTGTGCAGTTTATATAGAAACATGTAAAAAAACAACGAATAATACTATACGCTTAAATAAATGAATGGATAAATAAATAAACAAGTAAATAAATAAAGAAACTTCCTAGTAAGTATATATTCTTCAGATGCGTGATATTTCGTTGTCTCTTACATGTTCCCTCCAAAAGAAAGGGCGCGCAAACACAGACACAACATGGAAGTCGCGACACCGCAAGCGTTTAATTGGCAACTACCGAAAAGGCACACAACGGCGAGAAAAAAAAAACAGGGCCCGAAAACTTATTTGCGCATGCCCGTGCAACAGGCGAATCTATCAATCTAGCACGTGTGAGGATCTACGTGAAATATAACTGCTAAGGGCCAACTCCGGCGATTATCCGACCATGTCAAGGTAATGAATGGTGTTTCTATGTTCCTGAGACACTCTTGTCATGAGCCCAAGAGCTGAAATGCTCAGGAAGTTTAAAAATATCTTTTAATAAGCAAGAAAGTGCAATACCGAAACCGAAACCGAGCCGGGCGCCCTGTCTGCTTATGACGTACTATTTAGTAAGAACCAAAGTCCCGCCGGCGCGGAGTATGAAAACTATGAAAGCTAGACTAGCGAAGCGCCGGCCTAAGAGCACAGATGAAGGAAGCAAGCTTTCCTGTGGTATACCCGTGCCAAACACTGCCGCCGTTGCCTTGTGGCCGCACAATAAACGCTGTAGTGGCCAAAGTAGCCACCTATCGGCTGCGTCACTTCCATTGACAGGTCGAACATGACGTCACACAGACAGTGTTGCCAATAATTCTGGCAAGCGACGTGAGCTTTTCGAGGCAATCTTTAAAATTCATTTGCAAACAATCAGTGCATCTCTCAAAACTGTAATTTGGCATGAATGACAGAAATGTGCCAAGTAACGTACCTGAGGCTTTCATTGAGATCCATTGACCTCGAAAAGCCGTGGGAGTTGGTCCTTAAGATTTCGTCTTTATTCCAGCTAGTCGACGGTTGGCATGCGCAGATAAGTTTACGTGCCTTCTTTATCTACTGCTGTTGTGCGCATCTTCGATTGTTATCAGCGTTTGTCACGTTCCTACTTCCTTCTTGTGTACACGTGTTTGAACGCCCTGTCTTTCGGAATGACATTCAGCTCTGCGCTTCGTTATTCAAAGCTGTTACATTTTTTAACCTTTTTTCTTTTTTTTTGCACTTCCACGTAAGGTAAGGACAGCGCACGTACCATGTCCCTTTCTGTTCCGCGCTGACATCCATCCACGGTTGTTACGCAAGTTTTGCGGTAGCTGCAATCATAAACGGGGGGCCAGTCTGCCAAAGTGCTTTTATTCACAGCTCATGGCGGCAGAGGGACTCTCATTTGCTGGAAAGTGGGTTTATATTCGAGCAATATGTTTCATGCATGCAACCATGTTTTGCCAGCAGATTGTGCTGTACACTGCAGTCATCAAACACCCCTTTAAAAAAGAAAAATAGAGGGAAATAAAATCAAGGTCATTGATAACATGTGCAGCATAGGCAATATGGAACGTGTTAAGTTCATTACACCGCGAAACTATTGTAATAGCAACCATGACTCGCTATAGAATTATTAAGGGACAAAGTTTTCACGCTATCCATCGAGAATTACCATATCGTCTGTACGCATATCATGAGACCTGTCGATCACCGGTATTTTCGCGTCTGTTATTTATGCAACGGTCAGGTTCCTTATTTAAGGGACACTAAATAGCAAAACATTTTTTTCGTATATTAGTAAAGTACAATCCCGAAAACAACTCTTACTGTGACACAACGCTTGGACGCCTAGTCGTGGAGGAAGGAATATTCCTCCATCCATGCATCTACTGGCTTTCACGTGTGAAGCTTCTAGTCGATAAAAATGAAGTACATTGTCATCTGCGGGCACCATACACCTAGCATAAAGTGTTTCAGAAAATTTCATCAAGCCAGTGTAGCGAAAATTTGAAAAATACGTTTTCAAATCTTTGATGTCACGCCCACATATTTAGGCGCAAAGTTCAAACAAAAATTCAACCTTGATTTTCTCCGCTTATTATAGTGAAACATTTCTCAGAGTGCCGTTTGTCAATCTAAACGTATTCAATGTTTCTATTTGGGGTCCCTTTAACGTGCAAGAAGCTTTCTCATAATTATTCGCCTGTGCGTGGTGCGAAAGAAAGTAAGAGCAAGACAGAAAGTCACTTAGTAAGTCTCGCTAGATTAGGTCATGATACCTGGACCATGTGATCACCTCATTCACTATAGTTTTTCCGTTTACCGCGCCGGGAATTTTACTACGTGCAATTTGCACTTTTATTGAAACATTTGTGTAGAATTTTTTTCTCTGGCTGGGTTAATTATTACTTTCAAATGGTTACAACCAGAAAAATGGGTTCGTTCTCCCGTTCTCTTTTACGGGTTCCACTTGCATCGTTATTTCCGCTGTTCATATTTTCTAAGTGTTTCTTCTTCAGTAACCGAGCAGGTTTCAAACCTCACCACCGAGTAAAAAGCCCGTTTTCTATTCATCTCGGCCATGCATCTCAACATATTTTGTGTCTCCATATGGACAATGGAAATGCTGTTGACCATAAGCGTCCATAGACCGCAGCACCCTTCTTCTTCCTGTAGTTCCAAATAATATTTTTCTACGCAATAACAATCAGCTACTAAGTCGCACACCCAGGTCCCTCCTATCCGAGTGAAACGGCCTTCGGGATTACCGGCCAACTTTGCACGTTGCACACAATTGACTAATCTTGCCGGTCATATCACAGAAGTGAAAGGAAAGCTGCACGTGCTCGATGCACTCCCTTGCAAAAAGCCCTGTGGACTTCGTTACCGTTCCCCATAAACAAGGAACCGAGGTGGTTTCTTAAGGTCGGAGCAAACACCGCGCTCCCCCCTCTCTCTCTTTTTATCGTTGTTGGATCGAGGCACTTGAAAGCCACAACTCTCACCTTATCTAAGGACAAACAACGAGACTTCATTGCGAGCATTGGGAACATTACGAGTGGAATTGAAAAGACACCCAAAAACTTCTGCAGTGAAGTTTTAATAACATTCGCGGACAGATGCGCTTTTATCTGTTATCCCGAAACGCGAAAGTAGTTAGTATCTCATCAATCCACATGTGGGAACGGTAGGAAATAAAGCGTACATTAGAAAAATTCTTTTACAGAATATGCTGATGCCGCAGCCGGACTTTTTTTTTTAAGGTACGCATTGTCTCGCGTCGCTTTTTTAGGTGTCCAGGGGTGAACAGAGGTAAAACAGGGCGAGGAGGGCTTCCCGCTAAGATGAACACAGTTTTTTTTTATTTGCCACGCCCTTCGTATGCCCTGAAATATACGAATGAAGAAGCGCCAACCAAAATCATTTTGGACGGTGCTCTTTCACTTCGTTTGTTCGTCATGTTTTTTCCCGACCAGACGATGCTTCGTCAAACTGCGAACTGAAACTAAACTTTGTGGTTCATGACTTATGATTTGGTTGTTCGGAGAGCACGATTGTTAGGTTTCCCATTGTAAAGACGGTGAGCACAGCGACAAAAGCGGTACCTTTTCCTAAGGTAACAAAATACACGAAGAACCGTTTAAGCTAGAGAGAAAATATCAATGAGAACAGAAAAACCAACCCCTAATTTTTTACTTTTTTCGAAATTAGACCGTGCGTTCATGCATGGGTTACGCACGAGAGGTGCCTGGTAAGTCCCCGACGTTTCGTTTTGTGCATGCAGGTGATTCCACAGATCAACATGGGCCTCAAAGACAACGATGAAAACTGAATGCTGGAGGAGTGGAGTGAGTTAAGCTCAAGCTTACTTTCCCTGTCGCTTCCGAAGCATGTGTATAAACATTTTAGGAGAAGTATTTATATCTGCAGTTGAAATGCACTGTCCTTCGCCATTCTTTTCTGAACACGCTTGAAGCTGTTTTCCACCGCTACAGCGCCTCCTAAATAACAAGAGGCCCGTAAGCTCAAAGCAGTGGCTACGTTTGCACTGAAACATTCAGTGAAGCATACTTAAATAGACCATAAAGAAAGAGGTTTTTTTCGTAATATGTGGATTATGCTTCCGCAATTTAAAAGACACCACCAAGCGCCGTGAGATGACGCTTGCTAAGCGAGAAACCGCGAAAAGGGATAGTACAGCCGTCAACGCCACTTTGAACCTTCCGGGCAATCTCGTTGTGGCTTCACAGATTTTGACGGGGTTTGCCAAGGCCTGCACAGTTATTCATTGGTAAATATGGAGTTCATAAACCACCACGGGGGCCAAAAATGTAACAAACGAAGTTTCAGGCAGCGTTGCGAGACCAACGCGGTTAAAATACGAAAAAAAAAAGACATATTTGAGAACTATGACGTCACGCGTACATTTTTGTGCAGAGACGTGAAACTAGGAGTACGGACAAACTTTAACCAGTTCTTTTCTTCCAATAACGCGCCTATGACTGATAAATTGAAGGCAATAAAGTGCTCAAATAGT